TCTCGTGCCGCTAGCTGCTTTAGTTCACGAGATACGAAATATCTGGTGTCTTCAGGGTCGGGGGTAGGTCATAGCCCGATAAGGGTTGTGATTATGATGTACGCAGCATGCCTATCTTATAGCTACAAAATAGCAACAAAATACGCCGTTGGTCTCGGGTCGCTAGCTGCTTTAGCTCACGAGATACGAAATATCTGAGATTTCTAAGAATAAGGGTAGTTAGCCTCTCATGAAGGGATGATATTTTTTCATATCTAACCAGCTTATCTTACAGCAACAAAATAGCAACAAAATACGCCGTTTGTCTCGTGCCGCTAGCTGCTTTAGTTCACGAGATACGAAATATCTGAGATTTCTAAGAATAAGGGTAGTTAGCCTCTCATGAAGGGATGATATTTTTTCATATCTAACCAGCTTATCTTACAGCAACAAAATAGCAACAAAATACGCCGTTTGTCTCGTGCCGCTAGCTGCTTTAGTTCACGAGATACGAAATATCTGGTGTCTTCAGGGTCGGGGGTAGGTCGTAGCCCGATAAGGGTTGTGATTATGATGTACGCAGCATGCCTATCTTATAGCTACAAAATAGCAACAAAATACGCCGTTGGTCTCGGGTCACTAGCTGCTTTAGCTCACGTGATACGAAATATCTGAGATTTCTAAGAATAAGGGTAGTTAGCCTCTCATGAAGGGATGATATTTTTTCATATCTAACCAGCTTATCTTACAGCAACCAAATAGCAACAAAATACGCCGTTTGTCTCGTGCCGCTAGCTGCTTTAGTTCACGAGATACGAAATATCTGGTGACTTCAGGGTCGGGGGTAGGACATAGCCCGATAAGGGTTGTGATTATGATGTACGCAGCATGCCTACCTTATAGCAACAAAATACGGCGTTTGTCTCGTGCCGCTAGCTGCTTTAGTTCACAAGATACGAAAAATCTGAAATATCTAAGAATAAGGGTAGTTAAATTCCCCCCCATGAAGGGGGGGAATTTTTCCATATCTAACCAGCTTATCTTACAGCAACAAAATACGCCGTTTGTCTCGTGCCGCTAGCTGCTTTAGTTCACGAGATACGAAAAATCTGAAATATCTATGAATTAGGGTAGTTAGCCCCCCATGAAGGGGGGGGGGATTTTTTCATATCTAACCAGCTTATCTTACAGCAACAAAATAGCAACAAAATATGCCGTTCATCTGATCTCTCTAACTGCTTTTGCCTCCGAGTTATCGCTGTGGTTTCGCTAGCGTAATATTACGCTAGCGTAACTGGCGTTTTTCCGAGAAATCATGGAGCAACAAAATCAATTCTTGCGGCACAAAATAGCAACAAATTAGCAACAAAATACTATATACCTTAGGATATGGACTTATGAAATTGTTACGCTAGGGTAATATACCTCGAAGGCGGTCGAGATTATAAATTCTTAATATAATTCTATAAAGTCACCTATTCTTTCCAATACGCTCATTGTAAAAGTTGATAGATTTTCGCGATCGAATTCCAAACGCGCTTATCAGTACGAAATCGATCTCCTGCGTGGATATGCTGGACTGAAAATAAAGAGGATAATCAATGAATATTTCAAAAACACCTTTTTTTTATTCTCGCACTGAAATAATAAGTATCTATTAACATTTCTTACAATATTTTTAGGTGTTAGCCTGTTAACATATACCTTATCCCTGCTGATTAATGACACACTGACTAATGCCAAATGTAGTGTATTAACAATAACATACAACTAATTATTTTCTTAAAAATTCGTCTGTTCTAGTGTAGCTTCTTTGATGATGTGCCAAATTTACAAGGATTAAGGCGAGCAGTTACGATTGCACATTTCAAAAGACGAGGAAAACTTCCTACCAAAAACCCATAAAACAAAACGACCATGAGACTGCTACAATTAGGGGCAGATAGGTGAGTAGAAGTTATTTCAGCATTACCATGAGTACACACGACCTTCCTAATAAACCAATTTCGACTGTACCCACCTTTGTTTATTGTTCTACACAAAGGCTTGTCCTAAAATAACTAGTTAATTACTGACTCAGGAAAGGACATTGAACCAATCAATACCAAGTTGCTGAATTAGAGAGGAAATTAGTGTTAAGTCTAGGTCTTGAGTGAATTTGCAATGCATACCTTCAATCATTAGAATTCGTTTGACACCGAATGTACTGTTAGTTACTGAATAAGAGAGGAACTTCGTAATAAGTCTAGGTGTTGAGTGATCTTGGAATGCAATACCTTTAATGAATCATTGGAATTCGTTTGACATCTAAGCCTGTGCCATTAACTGTTTAACGCGAATCATTTCTATATGTTTAGTTTATTGTATTAGTGGTTTGTACGCCTGGTTTCATGGTGTCGCCGACTCGAGAGGTCCCGGGTTCTATTCTGGTGGGGGCATATGTTTGTGTGATGAATACGAACATTTGTACATCAGTCATGGATATTTAATATGTGTTTCTATATAAATATATGTACTTATATATGTGTAGTATATATATTCTATTCGTTACCCTAGTATCCCATAACACAAGCCTTATAGTGCTTACTTTGGGGCTTGGCTAATTGGTGCGAGTGTTGGAAATATTATTAAGTTTTCAAAACTAAAGGTAAGGGTTTCATGTGCCGCACTCAGTGCGAGATTCAGGAGTCAGGAATTATCGAAGTAACTCAAAATACGTACAAGGTAACGTTCTTGTTGAGGATATTTTGTTTCCATACCAAGCTATGCTAGGTGTCTGCTTACTAAGCAACAACGTAAACTTCCAAGCCATTTGGTTGATAATCATTGTTGATTGAAAAAATTTTGATTTAGGTTCAAAGTATTATATTATTATTACTATTGAAAACTATATCATTTTGACTAGTATTATTTATCTAAGTCTTCGAAAAGAAGTTTTGGCCTCAAATACAACGCATAAGTTTGATGATATCAGTCAACAAAGGTTGATTTGTTGACCTAATGATATAATTGTGCTGTGTATATAGCTGACACACGATATGCACATCACCACATTCCTCGCCGTATCATCAGGAAACAAGGTACATCATATATGCAAAAGGAAACAAATGACGGCTTACTCATATTGAATAAATAGATACTGTACCGAATGTAAACTAGTTGGCACAGATCAAAGGTAGAAAAGGTCTATTCTATGGCACAAGATTGCTTAACAATGGTGTCGATTCTGGCATGATTCTCTAAACCTAAACTTTAATTGAACAACAGTGCATCCTCGTCATTCTCTTTACAGAATGAAAAGGAGATACTGATGTTAAATTTAGTTTTAAGTTTAGAGAATTGCGCCGGAATCGACACCATTATCGATAGCTTAGATACACTACATAATTTTAGAATATGGGTGTTTTTGAGGTACGTAACGGAACAAAATCATGATTTTATTGTAGAGAGAATACGGTATAGTAGTAGACGTCTTATTAAGAATTCAGAATACGACTCGGATGTTCCAGCCGGCTAGAGAAAGCACATCCTACACCTGCTCAATTTATGCTCTGTTAATTTGAAATTGCAATCACCAATGAGTTCTTGAAATTATACTCGTATGCAATAAAATCGATAGGGCAAATTTCTTCAAGTCCTTTTTATTTTAAATATAAAATTGTTAAAGTGCTGATACGTGATTGACAGTAATTCAGATGAATCACAGAGAAAGAGGTTTCTTTCTTCTGTGAGCTGATTACCTAAAGTTACCATATACTCACTCGCGTGAATAAATTTTGCTTACAATACTGCGTATCTTATTAAAGATGCGTGATTTCGTGATGCACTGATGAGTCAAAATTTCGGATAAATCGATAATCATTTTTGTGATCGTTCAACACTAGCAAATATATATTTATGAAAGCAAACAACTTATTTATTTGCAGGTAGGCTATGTATGCTTATCGCTTGCAAAATATGTTTACTTTTAATAATACGTACCTATTGAGTATAGTCGAAAAATTGGAAGAGGAACTCCGAACTTTCTGACAATCTTTAGTTACAATCCTCATAATTCTGAAATTGTCATTTTGAGATTGAGGACTTTAAGATCACGCACAACATATTTCAACAAGAAGTACTAAATTAGTTTTTTTTTTCCTAAATGGCTTCGCACTTCTTGTGCATTTGGCCAATGTCAAGTGTTAAAGTAGTTTTTTACTTTTAAACAGCGTTTTGAGTGTGCTGCATTAAGGTACTTGAAAGCAACGTAACAACACGCACTCCAGCGCTACGCAGTGTAGTGCGTGGCAGTGTGAGAATTGCCTTATTGTTGTTAATAAAAACCGCAGCTAGGTATTACATTTCGCAAAAATAAGTGGCAGTGAACTGTGTAGGTGTAGTATAAAGAGTTATTATTTTAAACCCACGCCTTAGGTAACATGTTACTAAGAGTTAATTATGTGCCTGTGTGCAGTTATAAAAACAAATTACTTACAATTTATACCATTAATGATAGATAGATGATTTTTGTTCAAATGGCCATGATTATGATAAAATTTGATATTGTTAAAGACAAATTATTTTCTCATGTGAGAAAAAGACTATAAATAAAGTATGTACTTATTTTCTAATTGAAAATGGTATTGGTAGAGGTTGATTGAAAACTTATAAAATAATTTTGTGTAAAAATGTGAAATGATGACCTCAGTTAAAATTGATGATGTGGGAAAAATTGCATTGTACTAAGCTAGCTCCTACAAGATTCATTAATAGAATATTAATAATCATGAATAATTATACTATCATTAACAATTATAATTCTTGAAAAACTATAGATTTTCCTAAAAAAGAAAAGAACAAATGGCAGAAGAATCCATGTATAACATACCTTATATTTAAGAAAAAAGTAAAGTTTATTGATTTTAAATACAATATACATCTAAACTTAAATAATGCATTTGAAATGATCACTTTTTCATATTTCCTCTTTAGTGACTGAGAAAGATTCTATTAATTATAAACTGTAAAAGATTACATACCACTTTATAATTTTTGATGCTCGGCAAGAATCTCTTCTGTTCTACCTCCTTTTTCTGGAAGACTTCATTGATGATGTTTCCGAGGGCCTGGGCTCCATACTGGAGTAATGCTTGCCCTCCTCGATTCAAGAGCTGCTTTCCCGCTCCTTGTATAAGATTGCCAAAGTCCGCACCACCATTCTGCCCCATGGTGGTGTCTCACTCAATCTACTACACTACTACTATCTTTTGTCACTCTTTACTAAGACATTCTGATAAGAAACTCTTTAAACAAAACACATTTTAAATAAGTTTTTTTAAGTTGGAAATACCTGTGGTGCTGTATCATGCTAAATAAGATTGTATTGACTGTCAAAAGGATTTTCTAAACTAAAGAATTCTGTTCCTCATTAGGGAAACTAGAATAAGGTTTTTTATTATTTCTATAGTCTACAGACTCTTGGTCTTTGCCTTTTTTGTGTTACATTAATTTATTGTATGTGTATTATACATTGTGTTCTACTCAACAACAGCAAACTATTTGTTATAAAAATAAAGTCTATACTATAACCAGAACCAGTTTAGTTTAGTTAAGTTTTAACCGACAGACTGATTCACACAGTTGTAACTGGCAAACTAATCTCATGGAAACAGCATGGAGGTCAATACTAGACAGAGTACATCTATTATGTAGTGACATCATAATAAACACAGAATGTGGTGTGCTAATTAAAACCTTTGAAGTTTTTACAACAGATTTTAGTTTACATTCAAAACCATTATAATTTGTTCTATTCCCAACTATAAAATCATACACAGTATTTCTAGACATTAATTTCATGTAAGTATTTCATTTTAAATATTTTCTTCAACACTAATTTCTCAATTAATGTTTTTTTTATGAAATAAAAGATATACTATACTTACTGATAATTTGGAAACTTCATTTTTATACACACATTGGTACAAGAGTTATTAAGTCCTTTTTAAGCTGTGTATCTAGAAAGCTCATAAAAAAATAGGAAAGTTAAAAAAAGTAAGAGAGGACCATGTCATTCCTTGTACACAGGTATTTTTCAAATTGAACTTTTGTATGTAATATTTAAGCCATTAAAAGTATTAACAAAATATTTTGATTTTGATTGAAATGCACATTCTTGCAGTGCAGGTTTCTAAGAAAACTAGACACTTGAAGTTAAAACTAGGTCAAAAGAACCGAGCAACTTTACACCTTAATAAAATGAGATTTTGTCGCAAATACAACTGTATACACACAGTTTGAGATTACTTAAAAAATAATAACAGATTCCGTAAATAGCCCTAGCAAACGATCAAAATAAGTGAGGTCATAGCATTGGGTCATAGTCAAAACTATTCGTGAAATAATTCATTGTACACTTTGAAATTTCCTTATACAATTATAAAACCATTATAAACACAGCACCACAGTGTACACGCCAACACTTTTAGAAACTTTTATTTACTCTTTTGGGTTCATTTCAAAAGAAATTAAATAAAAAAGATTTCCACACACAGCACCTTCTTCCGAATCTCGCGAACGAAATCTGACAGCAGTTTACTCGACTAATTCAAAAATACATTCTCATCGGCCATAAAGGAGCTCAAACCGACCACTAGCATTTTGTCGTATTATTATGTGACTATGGACAGATCCAGTGAATGACGTCAGCTTCCATCAGTAGATTCATTCCATTGATTTTTATTCGCCGGTTTTTGTGTATTTGCCTGTTTATATAAACATAAATATATAGGTGTGTATACCTATGATTTAATATGTAATGCAAAGCTGGAAATGCGTACAGTATACAAATTAGTTTTCTTCGTTTTCTTCTTGTGTAATCCTTGCAACACTTGAATTTGGGCGGGAAAGTCAAATGTAATGTGTGCTGCATTCTGGAATCCCTGAAGCAAACCCACTGATATTCAGGAACAATCTCAAAAGCCTGCCCCTCCTAGAACGGGTAGGAGCTCCTTCTTGATTAAGATTGCAAAAAAAGCTCCGTACATACATCGTATCAGCTTTTGTCGAATTATAGAACTTTGTTTCATAATAAGTACCGATATTTAGCTCACTTTGGTTCTCTCACTTCATCTCTTTTAATTTATTTCGAAATTAGATACTTACTTACCTAATTTTTAAAATAAATTAAAAAAGTAGAAGTAGAAAAAAAGTAGGAATAGGAAGTATTAACTATTAACATTTTTATGATCCAGATTTGAAAAGATGCTATCAATTTTATGGGTTTATTTTGGAAATGCTCAAACTTGGCCTTGTTTTGCATTTCTGGTCAACAACTACCATTTCTGTGAATATGTAATTAACATTCAATTCGCAGAGTAGGTAGGTACAAGGACAAAGGGCCTCACGAAGAAATGAAAACTCGGGAGTATCAGGCGCACCACCAATCACCTTCCAGGGAACCGGTGCAGGCATGTGCAGAATAGAGTGGCCGATGCCTACTAGAAGTCCACTGACACTTTGGACGTTAAACTTAGTTTAGGCAGGGCCTTCAATAACAATAAGATGACGGTCGTGTATAAAGGAACTAAAATGAGCAACTTAGGACTTGCCGCACCGCTTTTTTCGGTCGCGTAATCTCGTTTAAAAGTTCAAATTATGCTTCAAGGTCGATAAAAACAATTCGTGTGGGTTTGGTATAAAGCAGATGAGCAGGTAAATGAGGAGACGAATTTACAAGGTATTCACTCACCTCCAATTCCGTGGTAGTCTTGTGGTAAAGAGAAAAAAAGAAATGATTATTAATTGAAATGTTGTGATTTGTTTTAAACTTAAATAAATAAAATCAAAAAATGTAAGAAAAATATGTATTTTGTCATTTGTTAAGTTTCTAACGACAGAACATAGAAATATGTTTCTTACATAGGTACTTCATAAATAATAAAGAGTAATTTTGTTTCGATCCCATGGCCTAATTTTATACAGTTAATAAATAACGATCTATCATTAATGCGACTTTATAATGAGAGCACAACATAAAGTATGTTCAAATAAAATTTAGATATCTCACCTTACATAAAATAATGAAGTAATAGTATGTATTACTTCAACACCATCATCTTAAATATTTATTCAGTGACGTCATGCTTTGACTGCGTGAGTCTATTTAAGACTTATCTTACGATCTACGATTTCGCAATCACGTCATCGCGAATCGGCAGTTGTGACGTCATAGGAACTTATCAGCGACGACGTCAGGACGGCCCTTGTCTTGACAAAGAAAATATACTATTTATGTACAGATTAGGTACTCAATAGTTCTAAGGTTATTCTTCAGTCTCAGCTTTATTCGCATTTCATAAAAATTATAAATGCGAAAGTGTATCTTTAATATCGTTGCTTCACACTTAAAAATTGAACCGATTTAATTGAAATTTGGTATAAAAATGTTAGTTGGAGCTCCGGGAAAGACATAAGATAGTTTTTATTCCAGAATTCAACCTTTATGATGTTGAAAAGGAAGTGTGGGAGTTTGTATGGGAAATTAATTAGACCGTGCATGCGGATGCAGTCGAGGGCATCCGCAGTCCGCTTGTATACTGTGCCCTAGCACGGTAATATTATCTATTCTATACAGTATTGTGACTCCGCCCTATCCTTGAAATAAATGCCTACGGCTGAGCGTTGCGTTAGCACGCGGTAGGGCCGCCCGCCTACAGTATTTTAATTTCATCTACATAATTGAGTTTCTTTCTAGTTTTGTTATTGTAAATATTTTATTTTATATGGAAAGATTCTCCGCAAGCCCACATACCCATATCGTAGGAATGCATTAAAAATAACTATTCTGCCATGTTGGATTTAGAATGACGTCACACAGCTAACCGTGCTTTTTAATCAAAACGTGTATATACAAAATTTCATTTTTCAATTTATATTTATTTGTAAGTCATGGCGCAGTCGGGTAAGGAAATTACCTACAATGTAGGTAAATCTTACTAGGTAGTTACTGTAGAGATCGTTTCATGCAAACTAATTATTGTCATTGAAACACGTATGTTGTTAAGTAAGTAGATAGCCTAGTTTAGGAAACTACCTACCTATTATGTAGTTTTGTTTCTAACGCGAGTGTAGGTATATTACTCGTTTGTCTCTTTTTTCACCTTAACCACTTATTTATATATTATTCCAGATATTTTGCCCGATGGAAAAATCGAAATACCTAAATATTAGAAACAAATTACGTACTAGTAGATAGGTATAAAAAAAATATTCTATAGTCTTACCTTTCCAATATTTCAGATAATTTAAAAAATGATATCTCTGGGTGTATTATTGAAGAGTTCAAGCAACCAAAAACAGCACAATATCGTCGTTTGTTCTTTTCCATACTAAATTATGTAGGTATCTACTTAATTCAATCAAATATTTACAATACAAAACGCACGTTTAAGCACGACTAACTGCATAAAAAACAATTCACAGCGTTCGGTCGTCGTTGCGGCGCGCGGCTGCGCATTCGCGACTGGGTGCCCGCCGAGAGTCCCTCGAACTCGAGTGGCGTAGGTATGACTCGCTTTCCGACCGTTTGTATGAAGATAGAATACTGCATAGATATTATTAACGTGGCCGTAGGATGAATTGATAATTCGAATTTTCGAGAAAGCCCTAGGGAGTTTGCAAAAAACGCGGATATTTTTTACTGCCCAAGTTTTTTTTTCCGGCGCTTCGCCGGCCCCTGCCGCCGGGGTAAGCGCGTCGTTGTAATTGTCACAACCTCACAATTACAACACAACAGTAACCTAACCTACCTAGAGCGAACCCAAAAACAAAAAAAAATATCGATACATCAACGATTCTTTTCGTAATCTTACTGAGGCGACTCGTGTTTGCGCGAAAATCTCAGTAAGATCTTCTTTTTTCAGTAAGATGAGAAATATCATCGTCATTATCTACTTATACGAGTTTTTGCAAAATCCCTACGATTTTCAAGAAAATTTAATTTATCAATCATCAAAATTATCAAATCATTCTAGGACTCCGACATTTAAATAATATGATAAATACTGATACCTAGGCAGTAGGCAGTCAGTTAATATATTTACATAAACTGGTAGCACCAATCCTAAAGAATTGTATGGGATGCTCGAAGGGTCGGCCGTCTGCCGGGTTATTTTTGTACGATGTTTATGAAATGGCGTTCACCTTCTGGCCGTGGTTTAAATATAGGTAGGTACTAAATGCAAAACCAGCAGTGTAGTTCATCCGCACCCATTATTATTATAAAGAAGCTGACCCGGCGAACTAAAAATTACATGGTTTTTTTTATATATTTTTTTTTATTTTCTATAATAAAATTGCAATCGTTCGTTCGTTAATAAGTCTTGGGCCTACATACATTTCGGCGATTAAATTTTATTAAACTACTAGCTGACCGAGCGAACTTCGTACCGCCATAAAAATAGAGGCTGTTGGTAGAAGGGTGAAAATTTAGGGATGTATGTATTTTTTAATGACGAACCACAAAAAAATAAAAAAATATGTTAGGGATGGACAACCCTTATCAATTAGGGGTATGAAAAATAGATAGTAGCCTATTCTCAGACCTACTGAATATGCATATAAAATTTCATAAAAAACGGTCAAGCCGTTTCGGAGCAGTATGGTAACTAACATTGTTGTGACACGAGAATTTTATATATAAGATAAAGAAAATTAATTTTAACTAATTCTGATAAGATAAGGTCTGACAATAAAGAATAAAAAGGAAAAGATCCAAAAATACATCCTCGGGGAGGAAGGGTTATGGGATACTCTTTGTAGTGAAAATCATCCTATTTTACCCCCTTCGTAGGTATTTGATTTATCCCGGTGGGGTAAAAGTATAGCTTTTACCTTTAGAAGGGCCATGGCCCGGCTGAAGCCATATAAATGCTTACATTCTGGCCTATATTTTGATTTGATTTATTAATTATGTTTTAATTTTTTAAGCATTTAACTGATGTTTTAAACCTAAATAAAAGTTTTACTAGAAAAAAAATCCACGCGGATCAGGCAGCCGACGGGACTCGAATCCGCACCCTTCGCAATCCGGGCGAATGCACTGACCAATTATGCTACCACAGCCCAAATGGCCGCGTCGAAATTTTCCTAGCCTTAAGCTGCAAGGCAGCGCCATCTCTTTGCATTACAGGTAACCCACAATGTCTTTTTTTTCTAGTAAAACTTTTCTTTTGATTTACTAATTCTAGAGGGGGAGTGGGTGCCAGTCGTTAAGTGGACTGGGGCGCCATTTTAAAATACGCCCCTGAATAGTATAGCTTGTATGGAAACTATTATATGATTTTATAGTTTTTTACGACAAAACTCGTCACCATTGCCTATTAATTATCAAATTAGAGTTATATTCGCTGTGCATCATGTGCGGCATGCACGGCGAAGTATTTGGTGATTTCCCAGTATTAGAGATGGGTGATTATAGGATATTATTGACGAAAAATATGATTTTTATTAATCCCACGCACCTACAAAGGAATGGAGTCAATGTAAATCAGCGACTTCTTAAAAAACTGACGTGGAGACCAAGATAGATAATAATAACTTTTGAGAAAAATGAGACGTGAGTAGGTAGGTAGGTATGTTAACCGTTTGAACTGAGTGACATGATTAGAATACTCAATCAAAGTCTATCGCAGACGCAAATATATACATAACAATTATGTACTAACTGCAAGTGCTGTCTTCAAGTTTAAGAGTAAAACAAATAAGTTCTTGTTGGATTCGCAGAGAAAGGATTCCGTGCCATAATACTATGTATAATGTTTAGTTACGTTTTATCAATAAAAAACGAGTAATTAATTGATAAAATTGTATCTAGGTAGCTGGTAAATGCTATAAAAAATAAAATAAAATAAAATATTTAATAATTATATAATTTATAAAATAATAGGCTGATGATGATGATTTACTTACTATTTTTTTTATTTTATTCTGGACAACAAACAGTCATGTACATCGATATTATTTTTTCTTTACAGTAGTTTAAAGTTATAGACCTTGAGTGCCAACACACACATTAACTATATACTTATAGGAAATTAGGCGGGTATC